TCTATCTACTTGGAACCTAATTGGGAAAGAGCTGCTCAACTTCTTATTATTAGGGGTTGCTGTCGAGGACAAATGCTAGCGAGTCCCCACTAAAGGTCGATTAGCCCATGAAACCCACCTTAAAAAAGTACATCAAAAGAGAAAAATCCGTAATTCTCACTACTTACAACACACAGAAGATGCCAATTTTAACAAGATTCTAGGCTAAGGTACACCTCAGAAGAAAGCAGTGAAACTGCTGGGACATTGACTCATGGAATGGCACAAATGGTAAACAACGGCCGATTTAAGATGTTTTCAAAGCCCTGGGTAGGAAAGGGAAGGGCGCGCCCCAAACTTCAAGCTGATGCAGCCAAAATTGATCGTTCGTGTCAGTTTTCTCAAATACCGCTTACCATTTTCTTCCTCTTGGTCAGGATGGCTTTCCCCACCTGCCATGTTTTTCTCCCCCACCACCCACTTCCTCATACTTGTTAGTCAGTTGAAAAGCATATATCGACTGCAAAATGTCGGTAGTCGGTCCCAATGACGGGTTTACGGAAGTTAGTCGACCAAAGAGCAGAGAACTCGCAATAAAACTAGCCAAATTGGTCCATATAAGGTCCCATTTCCGGTCAACTCTTAGAAAGTGAACAGGAAGGAAGAAGAGATACTGAGTGCGTAGGCTAAAGAACAGAGAACCATAGGCGAGAACCGCACGTCTGGTATCGTCATTCTGCGGCGCCAGCAAACAAAAGGGAGGCGCAGTTCGGCGACGGAGGGGGGCATTTTACTACCATTGCTTCCTTAGTTCCGGTTTACAAGTCTCACTCTGGCGAAACCTGTGAACTCTTGTGAAGCTGGAGCAAGCTCGTCAAGCCATCATGGTAAAACCTGTCAACTCGAGAAGAGGCTGTCTAGATGGGTCGACACGTCGATGGGAAGTATCAAAAGTGCAAAATGCTCCCCCCCCCTGGGTCGCCGAACTGCGCCCAAAAGGGATAGAAAGGTATATAGCGCACATAAAGAGGGAAAAATCATGAACACTCAGGAGCTGGGAAAAAATCAATAGCGCTCGGAAAGAAATTTCTATCAAATCCACATGCACTCCCCCCCCCTAAAAAGACTAAGTACGACCCCCTGATGGGATTCACCGCGGTGCTGTACCTCGCCACGGAAGCAGGTGTAGTTTTATTGTGGAGGTATTTCTGCGACGTTGTCAAAATTTCGGCGCAGTTCGGCAACTATGAGGAGGGGCACTTTCCACTTTCGCTGCTCCACTAATTTATTTGTTTATTTATTTACACGCGAGGTGCGCTGCAATGTGCTCGAAATTGGTTGAGCGAAAACATCCAAGAGAATATAAATAAAGAGACAAATACACATTAGCAGGAAACTCTTCACACCTCAGTATTTCAGAAATCCTCAATTCCTAGTAAGCGAGTAGGTCAACTTCCTTCAACTTCTTTTTGAACATGTTGATATTTGGCGCTTTTGTAGGACTGGTGGCAGTGACTGCAGCCATCTGGCTCCACGGAAAAATAGTGAATTAAATATTTTAGATCGATGGCTATTGCTCAGTTTCGGGCATTGTAGGGATAGCGAGGAGGAACGGCCCCTACTTGGCCGGAATATCCAGTACTTACTAGGCTTCAATCTTAACTCTCCTTTGAGTAACTTGAAGCAGAACAAAATGTCATTAAACACCCTTCTATATAGTAATGACTTCAGGTTGAAAAGCCGTAAACGTTCTATAGCTAGGTAAACCACGTGGATATAACGGGCTGGGATAACATCGGTACATTAGATTCTGGTGAATGTTTGTTGAACTTTTTCAACTTTTGCCTGAAGTTTCTGGTGTAAGGATTCCAAATCTGAGAGCCGTATTCAAGTATGGGACCGACGCTTTATAGAGCTTCAGCAAAGTTAGAGAATCATTTGTTCGAACATTTCTGAGTATTGCGAAAAGAGTAGTGAAGGCCTTACGAACACAGCATTAATATGATGTGAAATCCAAATCAGAATTAACAAGAAAGCCGAGGTCACGAACTTCTCTTGAAGTACTAAGGGGAATACCATCGATTATGTACGGTACAATTCTAGCTGCTCCTATATGAAGTACAGATGTCTTCGTGAAATTTATAGGTATTCCCCAAGCAGTAGCCCACTCCATCATGTTGCATACGGATTGGGTTAATGATGTTAATGTTAATAATGAGATACAATTTCATCACGTAATATCTCTTCCAGAGCTTTAGCAGGCGGGGCAGTTATACGTTATGGGGCGGAAAGAAGAAACTAGCTTCGGTTCTGTAGTCTTAGGAATGGCTGTAACGATAGATTCTTTCCAACTCACTGGGACCTCACAGAACATAAGAGACACGTTGAGTATCATATAGATAGATCTGCATAAAGAAAGGGCACATTTTTTGTATACAATCTGCGGAATTCCATCGTAAGGAAGAGAAGTAGAGCATTTGAGTGACCTCAACGTTTTATATACAACTTCTTTAGTTACTACACATTCACTAAGGTTACTCAAGCATTCTCGAGCTTCAGAACTCACATAGAAATGTTTCCACTGCCAGTGGAGAAGACAGACGAAAAGAATTGTGCGAGCGCCTCAGCTTTTTGAGCATCAGATAAGAAACGATTGCTTTTTTTCATAAACAAGCACAGGTATACTTGAAGGATTTAATCTCAGATTTACCAATGCAAACATAGCGTTCTTGTTAATATTGCTGAAACGTCTTTCTTTATTTGTTAGGAACTTTTTCAGATGATAGTCAAGCTCATGGCACACTTTTTTGTACATAAGACATGACAAGGGATCATGATGTGTCTCACTGTAAAGTCGTGTTTTTTGGGCTAATAATTTCTTATGTGTTCAGGATATTTCGTTTGCGGCACAAGCATGTAATTAAAGAGGCACATAGGCAAGTCCTGTGTAGACAGTGCGGCAAAATCTTTTGTACATGTCATCACAGGAGGCGTACCGTCAAAAACATTCCACCAACTTTATGGAGGAGAAGTACTTCGATAGCTCAGAATAATTGGCCTTGGAAGTTTGGCAATGGAAGTTCAGATGGCGTGGATGCAGGAACAGTAATCTCAAAAGACACTGTTGGTCAGGGCTGCAAAAGGCGCTAATAAAGAGACGTCTTTGGCAATAGGAGCTTCGACAATATAATGTGCAGAGTAGACTCTCCGCGTGTGGGTGTGGTTACATACTGGACGAGTCCACAACATTTGAAAAATTCCAGAAATTTGAAGGAAGAAGAGTTTTTGGCCCTACTCGCTTCCCAGTCAACATCTATGTTGAAGTCGCCTATAACAATCAGATGCTTATCAAGAATACAGCAGTTCCGAGTTGAGGCAGGTTGGGGTTTCAATGGGCACCAGGAAGACTGAATTCTTAGCTAGGCAGCACACACCGCCACCCCTCCTCTCTTCGCGATCTAAACGGAAAACATTGCATTGATTTCCAAGTAGTTCAGAGGTTGATATTTTTGAGGACAGCCATGTTTCGGTAATACATATCAAATCTGGGGTATCCAAGAAAAAATGCAAATGGTGTAATTTATTTCTTAAGCTTGTCGCATTTAGAAGGAAGCATCGGTTCAGGCGTTCCCCGAGCCCCTTGTTTTAGGGGAGCTCGTCAGACCCGCCTCAACTGTCCACGGTACACCACCCAAATACGGCTGTTTGCCTGCTTATTGCGGCCCTGCACTCCTGCCTCAACTCGTACTCTCGCTTGCGCTCCGCGGGAGTTAAACTTTTCCTAATGAAGATGTGAGGTAACCCAGCAGCACGCAAACGGTAACTGTTCTTTAGAGCTGTGACCCAATGGCTCCTTGATGGGAGTACGAGCTTCACCAGCCGTGGAAGTGCACCGCTGGGTTTCCCCATGCGGTACACTTCCACTGGTCGACATTCGACTCCCACACAATCTATCCCACTAACTTTATTCTCAAGCTCTTGCTGTCTAATGGACGGAGCTGTATCGGGAGCTGATTCTTCTATACCGAAGACCACCAGACTGCGTCCCCTTTCTCGGCTTCAACTGCATCCGCTATAGTTTCTGGTAGTTTCGACACTAACGCATTAATACATCTTGCCATAACCTGATCCTTCAATACTTCGTTCCGCTTCCATCATGACGTTAATGATTTCCGAAATTGACATCTGTGATACATCGCTCTCTGATGGACCATCTATCGAACCACTCGGAGGAACAACATTCATAATGGTAGATTGGCGAGTTCGCGTCTTTTGTGACATGTTCAAATCGATGGCAACTTAGCTGATGAGTCGACAGTGAAACAGATTTCAATGAGTCCACAGTGAAACAACAGCCGCGGTGTATATATGGAAAAACCGTCGGATGGATCTATGATAAATGAAATGTGATAGAAATACACGTCATATAACCACAGTAGATAATGGACGTTAGGCGAAGTCTGGAGGAAGCTCAATGCAATAGACCGCTCACGATACTCTTATGAGCAAAACTGAAATTCCGGTCTACAACTTCACTCTGGTGAAAACTGTGAACTTTTGTGAAGCTGGAGCAAGCTCGGCGATCCACCATGATAAATGGTACTTGTATGGTGTTTCGACGCTTTGCAAGACAGGTATTCTTGACAAGAGTTGACTGGTTGTCTTTAAAAACATTGGCTGGGTCACTTCGTGGCTCCACAAGTTTTCACAGGTCTCTACGTGATGGCTCGAGATGTCGATGGGAAGCAGCAAAAGTGCAACGTGCCCCCCCCCCTCCCCCGTCGCCAGCAGTGGCAATATTCATTCAAAGACGGTACGCAATTTTGTCTCTGCTTCAACTTTAAAATAACGAGAGACCATAAACACCATCTAGATGTAGATTCCATCGATTTTTGAAATATTTATGCACGTAATCAATTTTCCTCTTGATGATTAAGCTAGCATCTAGCGCCATGCTTAAAATGCAGAAAATTTTGTACACTGTTAGCACACACAGAATATACATTTACATATATCCTACACTAGCTATCGCTCGATTTCTCTAAAATAGGAAATATCGTTCACTTGAACGAATAAAAGCTCGTTCGGTCGTCGAAGATGTTCTGGATTATCGTCGTGTTGAAGGCAAGCGAACACACTATCATTGTGGTGTTCCTATAATTGGGAAAATAATGTTTTGATTAAAGAGCGGAACTGAATGAAGGCATGTTTCCAAGCAGGAGGAGGGCCTGGCCTGCTCTCGCTCACTGCAGCCAGTAGCCCATGAGTAACTCTCCACTGGAGAAAGAAGCGAATAGAAACTTGGAACACTCTGAACAGAGACCCCCTCAGCAGTGAGACCGGCGCCTTGGACGAGTTTGTCGGACGTCGGCAAGCCCAATCAGCAGGATTCGACGTGCAACCAATTCCCAGCAAGAGCACAGGAAATCACCCTACGACGCTCCAGGCAACGCTATGTACACACGCATTCCGCTTGTAAGCCGTTGTCTTGCAGAGTGAAAGTAATCGTGGTTGCAATGGTTGCAATAATCACGCATCTCTAGCTTCTTTACAGCGCGGTTTTGAGTGGCAAAAGTGGTATACTGTCTGCGAGTGCGAACAGCGATGCCAAATGCAAGGGGAGATTTCGCGGACCCCTTGTTCGTGGAAACTGTCTCTAAGCGCGACGAGAGGCGTCGAATGCGTTATCGCTACGCCTGGAAAGTTGCATACTGCGATCCCAGCACTCGCGCCCTCTTACGTCTTGCGGAATGAAAATGATTTTGATCGATGACTATAATTACGCTTGTCTAATGGTTAGATAAAACCAGTCAATAAGCGAATTCAAGGCGTCAACCAGGGCACGCCATCATTGTGATCATCACAACAGGGGGGGGGTCGTATTTGACCTCGAGGGAGGGAGGGGGTCGTAAGCGGGGACCTTTCTGAAGTGAGGGTGCAGCGATACCCAGATGTCGTTCAGCTTCAATGATGAAAGACTTATCCATGTGAAGAACCTCTGAAGAGACCCACACAAGACAGAAGCAACCTGCCAGCGCAGAAGTGGGGAACGGGCGATGACAGGAAATACGATGGCCTCCCACAACGACGTCATGAATTAATAAAAAAGGTAAAGGATAAAGTCTCCGCCGTTGATCAACCCTTTGTGGGATGCGGCACGCATTCTACTTCCATTCAGAATCGTAGTGGCTTATTGAATGCGATGTGGCCTATACAATGACTTGCGGTGGCCAGCCGATGTACAAGTCAGTGTTTTATCCTCAGACGAATCTGGTACCATCTTACCGTTCCCGCAGGGTAGAAGGCTTGGTTGGCCTGGGCGAGAGTCGACCGGGATTTGAACCCGGCATCGCGCGAGTGGTAAGCGCGCCACTTGTCACTACACCACCTCCGCGCCAATGAATATCCGTCCATAAACTAATAAACAGATGAAAGTACACTTCCGCACCTTTCTATTGCAGAAGCACACCTACTTGCACGAAGGAAGCCCTTTCTAGAAGTTGCACCTTCCCAATAGCTCTGCGTGAAAGCGCTATGCATGGCGCAATGCAGAGGTGATGCCAATTGGCGTCCAATGAACTATTTCCTGGTATCCTTGACAAAAACATGCATAGGAGCACTGGATATCTTCTGGCGTCGGAGGAGTTGATTTTTTCGGGCCGTGGGGAGTGATTTTTTATGATCACAAGAGGGATTTTTTCGAATAGCAGGCCTAGGGATAAAATGAAAGTCTTGCTGGAAAGTAGAAAGCTTCATGCTTCCGGCACAGTTCTTTTTTTACGAAAGGCCGTGTATGAAGCTTGCCATGGATGTCCAAAGCGTAGCGACTTGTGGTTGCCCCCCCCCCCCCCAGGATCACAAGGATCACAAGAGGATCACAAGAGGATCACAACGAAGAAAATTTCTAGAAAAGAAATGTTTTTGAAATCGCTCAAACTCAGGTAACAAGAGCCAACCTAGCTCTACTCATTCCCACTTTCCCCTCTCCGAGAGCTTCACTTTCAACGAAGTTATGGGTGTTCAAAAGGGGTACTTTTCGAGTGTTTGGCTTGAAATTGGCTCCAGGTCGTAAAATAGCGCGCACCAATGCGCTTGTATTAGCGTGGGAATTGCAGGGCTCGCGTGCGGATGACCGCGAACAACTAATATTCAAAAACTAATGCATAGTTGTAGTTCTGGTGAGTTTTTTGTCGTTTGTTTGGTATTTTAGATCTCTTTTTGTTTTCTAGTAGTTTTTTAGGTTGTATTGTTGTAGTATTTGGCATTATCGAACTACTCCTACCCCAAAATCAGGCCAATTTTTTATCGATTTTTTTCTAGAGGGGCAGATTTGGATGGAAATTTGTTACAGTGGTACTTCGACCTCCTGAACACGAATATCACACCCGCTTTGCCCAAAACTTTTCATCGATTTTGGTGATTTAGGGTATTTTGGCGCCGCGCCACAGGCGCCGGGGCCAAAATACCCTGAATCACCAAAATCGATGAAAACTTGTATACGGGGGTTATTTGACATCCTGATTACGAATATGATATTTATTCTTGGCGCCAGCGCTAACGTAGGACACTATGGTCATCTGCGCTTTGCTAAGACTGAGCCTGACCTGAGGGAAATCTTCCCTTTTTCTCAGTTTCAGCCTCAGCAGAGCGCCAAATAGCATTGGTATGGAGAAATGATGTCACACTCGTGATCAGGACATCGAATAACATCTATAGACAAAGTTTCAGCACAAATTTTTTTGAGTTTTTGGCGTAGGAATAGTTCAATAGCGCCCAGTTCTCTTTATTGTCATTTTCTTCGTCCCTTTTGCGCTTCTTTTCATTTGTACCCTCGTGACAGGGGGTCGTATTAAGACCCTAATTCTGGGGGGGGTCGTAATTAGCGGGAAATGATCACAACGCATGGCGTGCCCTGGCGTCAACATAATCGGGAGGTGGGACCTCCCTGCGCCGCCTCCATATCTGTTCCCGCAGCCATGAATCAGGCTTGGAGCACCGACGGCGCAGAGTCGCCGCGGGTTATTCTTGCAAAGCAGACAGTCTCTACGCGACTTCCACCGCCTGCACTGTAACAATAAACTTGAGCCTTGGCACCGGTAAGAGACGCAGAAGCGATGTTGAGTGGCCCTTTGTCCCCCCGCTCTCCCCCTCCCCCCTCCGCACGTCAGCGCCGAATCCAGTTGAATGTAGTGTGAACGCTAAGGTAGTCAAGAGGAAAGTCGGAAGCAGGAGCAAGACGCGCTCTTTTCTGCTCGTCTGAACCCTTTGAACTGGAAGTTATCTGTTCAGTATCATCCCCATTTACCTTGGCTTTACAGCGCGCTGATGGGCAAAGGGTGGGCCTGTCTCGATCCCGCTCACCGCTGCCCCCTCGATTACCTTGGCATCATACCCCTTTTTTCAATGGGTTTTGTATTTCGTGCGAGCTTCCCAATTCTGTGATGTGAAGGATACAATGCAAACTAATGCATCAGATATGAGCATAGTTTCGATTTCAAAAACTTACCACTGAGGTCGACTCCAGAGGGATGATCCATTTGGCAAGAATCTACGCTTGAAGATAATGGTGAAGAATGTGTGGGCTCAAAGGATGATGATGATTGAAGTTCAACCTGAAATAACGGCTCCAAAATCAGCACAGAGCTAAAACAATTAGCGGTGAGATGACTAAGACCGCGTTCAGACTACACGATCGCGCTATCGGATCGCTCGATTGGATCGCGCGACCACGACCGCGGCAGCTTCACCGCCTGCGCCGCCGCAGCGACAGATTTTAAAATGAGCGGCATTTACACAGTGCCAATCTGAATTGTGCCATTGCGGAGGTTCACCGTTTGGCGGTAGTGCGCCCCCTGTCAAAGTCGCGCGATCGCGAAGTCTGAAGCCTCTAACATAATAATGGCACATGTTAACATACCTTCTTGATCGGACTGGTCAATTTGGAGAATTGCTGAAGAGTGAGCGTCACCATACGGATTGGTGGCCACGGCTGTGTAAGTGCCACATAGTTGATAGGAGACGGAGGGGATCTCAAGACAAGCCTCTCCATCGTGTAACGATTGACGTCGATAGGACGAATCGTCATGAATTGCCCTGCCATTGTGAAGCCAACATAAGACCGGGGTTGGGATCTCCATGTACCTCGCAGTCGAAGCAAGCATAGTCGCCCTGCTGAACGAAGGCAATAATCGTCCACGAAGGACAAATTGTGTGAGAACGATCGCGACAACACGTATGTTTTTAAATTGTCGTAAAAAAACGCCTAAGCACCCATGTTCCCGAACGTACTAATCAACTTTCAGAACTTGCTGAAGTCTAGAAGTCTAAGAGAGGAGTAGTTAGCTGTAGAGGGCCAATACTTCACTGAAAAGCTGGAGATCCAAGTTCGGAATACCAGGAATACCAGGAAGTCGTGCAAGTCTCCCTAGATGTCAGGATACGTCGACCCGGGTGGTAAACCTCACCGTGGGTTGAAGATGTCTGAGGGATTAACTATGATCCTTCAGTATCGCTCCATTCAGCTAAATTTCTCATCCACTACTCTTCAATGGCGAAATCACAATGAGGTGGGTGAAGTAGAGGGGTGACTTGAGAGGCCTCGGAACAGAACCCATTGCGTCATGCACGATGGGGATCGTAATCGGCCCCTGGAAGACAGCAGAGTCGTAGCCGATCTCGAGAGGAACTTTTCTAATTGTTGGTTTCCCCGTTTCACCCGCAATAGACACCGGAGGTGCCCACCCACTTCGACAGCAGATTTTTGGGGAAAAGCTGGAAGGCGACAGGTAGGTCGTGAAAAATGGCCGTACCGAGAATGGAAAATCCTAGATAGAGTGGAGGCGTATTTGGCAAAAATCCAAGAGTTTTACGCAATGCGATGGTCAGAACATGTTGTTGCCCATAGGAAACATCATGCTGATGAAAAATACAGCACCATGCCCCTCCACAGTCATATTCTCGAGGACGACTTCTTATGGTCCAAAAGTGAAAAAAACCACCTTCTCTCATCCCTTTTCACTTCTGGCTTTCAATCTCCTTCAAAACCTCATGGCCCCTAGAGGTGAGGAGAGGAGGGATGAGAATCTTTCTTCCCTCCCTTCATTGATAGATTCCTCTAAATAAGTCAGCAAGCCGAATGCGAACCCCTCCCTACTCCCCAAAGACTAAATTAAAGGCAGTCGGCACGATAAATCCCCAAGACGAGTAGGATTGATACCTGGCAGGAGAGAATTCCGCGACCCTGAGCAGGCGCTGCATAGCGCCTTTTCCAAGGAAGGTACCTTATAAGGATCCTATCAAGCTACAACATACCGACCCGAACGCCCACCACGCCCGCCCGCCCACAAATGGACGACCGTACCTGATGCTCGTATTGCTTCATTTGCGAAGTAAAATATGAAGCGGCCGCGGTGCTGCATGGATATATGAGTACATACATGCAGCCGTACCTACCGTAGCGGCTTATTGGCAAGGTGCCT